CATTCCTGTCTGCTTGGAGAAAAGTCAGGCAGCTCTACTTTCCACTGGAAGTCTCAGGAGTGCTTGGTACTTTCATCTCGGAGTGTTCACACACTTGTTTTAATGTGCTTTATGGAAATGGTGAAACTCAGCAAGTCCAGTTGGTGTAGAAAAACATCTGCACTAACTATTCACACACATTTGCATCTTTAAATAGACTTTTAGGCCTTGTAGCCGATTTTCAGTGAAGTTTTTTGGTTGTGAGTGCTAGAGCTTTCTTGGAGTCAGTGAGTGTGAAGTGACTGGTGCCAAAAATTAAAAATTTACATGGACATGTTAAGTGCATCACATTGAAACTCAGAATACTTGCCATAACACAAAAAAGGCATTTACACTAAGTAGCACTTCATGAGTGCTGAAGGAGAGAAAAAAAATGGGTACAGAAAAGACATTTTAAAACTCCGTAAACACTCTGTCGAATACCTGGAGCCCTATTCTGCCCTCAGATGGATGTGTGCTACTCCTGGGGACTTGTATGTGTGCATCTGAATTTGGTCCAGAGTATTTTAAAACAGCTTGTTATAACATTAAAAATCAGTATTTGTAATGTTGACATAGCTCGGTGGGTAAGTGTCTGCAGATTTATATACACCTGGCTGTATCTACTGAGTAGCGGCAAAATGCTTTTTCTATAAGAGTGATCAGCAAAAAGGGGTTTGAAGTCCTTTACCCCAACAGCAGATCAGGCTTTATCCCCAACACAGAGCTGGTGCTCTGGTAGGTGCCCTTGGGAAAGCGGGAGACAAGTCCACTTCCCAACGCTGTTGGTTAGCTGTGGGAGCCTTCTGCTTAGCTTCTTCATCACGGCTTCAAATGCCCAGGCCTGCTTACCTAACCCCTGCGCACATGGAGCAGCCTCAGTGCGGGGCAGCAAGCCATGGATCACTGCCATTTTGAAGGAGATGCTCTTAATGGTTGCACGTTCATTGTATGGGGCAGCATGTGTGTGGGGAAGCGGGGGGAGATGGCAGGACAGGCAGTGCCGTCGCTCACGTCTCGCTGTAGCAGTAGTTACCGTTAGACCAGGTTTCCTCCTTGATCAGTCGCTGTCCTCAGACCCGTTCCTAGACAGCCCCTGAGCTCACCAGGCGCGCTAGTCCCTCACACACAATGTTCCCCGTGTTCAGGTTGAAGCCGGCACGGCAGAAGTCACTGCAGTGAATGAAGCATTTCCCTTGTCGCAGAAGGAAGGTTTTCAAAAGTCCTTCTGCATGTTGCTGACAGCCGGCAGGCCCGGCTTTGGGAGCCTTTTGTGTGAGTGCAGCCCAGGGGCCCTCCTTCCGGAGCGTGGTGGCTGTCCGCCACCGGTGCCCCTTCCACACCGGCTCTCCCCCGCCTCGCCGTGCCGGGGGGAAGTGTGTTGGCTCCATTGTTAAGCTCGTACTCAGGAAGATCCTGTTGTCCTCCACCGTGCGCTGTGCGGAATTCCCCCTGCCTTGCTGATCCTTCTGTGGTTCTGTGAGATTGTCACATTTCAAGTTAAAAGAAGGCGAGTCAGACTTGTGGGTGGTTTGTTCTTCTCCTGTTTGCACAATGAGAATTACTCTGCAGAATTACTACAGGCTCAGATTGAAAGCACAACAGCGAAGTGACACACAGAAACATTTATATTTGCCAGGTGGAAAGTAAAAACCGGCTCTGTGCTGTAGTTATGCTGTTCCCCCTCTGCTTTCCTTACCTTGTATAAAAGCTGGGGGGACTCCCCCAAGCAAAACAAGGAGAATTGGGTGGGGGAAAGAGGCTGCCATTGTGTATGCCGTGGTCATGCTCAGCGCTTGATCCTGACCCCGCTGCCAGCCTGACAGCCCTCTGAGATCCATGAGCCGGAGGGAATAGTTGTATAATAGGTAAAACCAGGCAGGCAGTGCCCGCAAAAAGGAAGTGATTTACTACTGTGTCAGTGATGGTACACTATTTATAACACTTACTATATATTCCTCTAAACATTTATACAATAATATATCATTACTGCATAGAATATACATTTTAATACTAAATTTGGTTACAAAATATGTTGCCTAGGCAGTCACAGACTATTTTTCTTCACTCGGTTGCTTGACATAAATTCCTGTTTATCTGCCGGCAGTGTTTGTATGTCAGACATATATTTGATATTTAAAGGACAAAAGGGTTTTCCACTTAAAAGAGCAGGCTGAAAATACTCATTTAAAATAAAATTTTTAAACGTAGAAAAAAACCCTAACATCTTTTTCCTGCAAATAGTTGTTCCACTCCTTCGATAATTTCCACTTTTAGAGTCAAACCGAGCAATTTGGAAGGGCAGTACACGGATTTACAGTAAAAGTCTTCTGTGAATATTGTAGTCATTAATGTGCGAACTTAAAAACTCACCTGGCTGGTATTATTTAGCTGGTATGACAATGAGTAACTTTGCTTCAGTACGTTGGGAAGCATTTTAGCAGATGATAGTACTTTTGCTGGCTGGGAAAATATTTATTTTTCAATTTTTATCTTAAAAAACCAAACACCTTTGTTTTCAGTTCAAAGACATGGTACTTGGGCTAGGGTTTGGGTTTGTTATTTAAATATATACCATTAGTGCAGATGTGTTCATAGGTAAATGCAGATATACATTGTGCTTGTGTGCAAAAGGTGTGTGTAATTTGTGAAACCTCCTCTTCAAGATGTAAACAAGAGGATAAAACCCCATGCAGTTTCCAACTTATCCTGAAAAAGCATTGTGTCAATGGGCAGACATCCAGCAATGGTGTTTGGTTGTTTTCTCAGAGTTAGATGGTTGCCATCTGGCATTGATAGTGAGATGGCGTTGTCATCAGTTTGTAGATGCAGGAAAGGAATGAATCCTCATCTGTTTCCTGTGGATAAGCAAGAGGTTGATAATCTAGTAAAATCTTGTTACCTTAAAGAAAGCAGGCTTGAAATTTATTTACATAATATGGGCCAGCTCTAACTTTTATGTTGGTATAGTAAATGTCTTGAGAGAAGGTTGAAGATGTTAAGAAACTTACTACTTTGCAAGGACACCTTAAGAAAGATATTTTTCAAGAGGTTTATCTGTCTTTTTCTGTGCTGTTCCTGTAGTCAATTTTACTTTTAAAAGGAAAAATAAACAAGCACCACCTCTGGAAAGGAATAGGATTATTTAATGTAGAGTAATCTTTCAAGCATTCTTTTCATATTTTTAAAGAAGTTCTAGGTTAAGGTGAATATGGTTATTGTAGTAATCTACATTTAAAGCCAAACTGTACCGGACATCTGTTGAAAAAAAAATAGTTATAACTTGCCATGTCTAGAGATAAGGTAATATCGTAGATAACTAGTTCAATTTATTATCTGGCTAGCATTTCTGTTTTGTCTTTTCTTTGTTACTTGTAAATCTTTCAGCTTTTACCGTAGTCATTTATCATTTTTCCTGTTTCCAGTTTTGTACAAGTTGCTTTGTCTGTGATCACCTCACAGTACAGGTTCTGCTGGACTGAGGAAGTTCAGCTGGCTGAGGCCTTTGCAAAAAGGAAGAAATGGTGGACAACCTCTTGAACTTACAAAGGAAAAAAATACTGTTCACAACTCACCCTTTTGAAACTTTCCCATTTTCCTTGATCCTGGCTGTTGGTTGGTTTGTTTGTTTTGCACATTTAACGACCCAGCTGTCAGCATTCAGTAACTGAATTGTATAGTTACAGAGAAACCTGATTGCACTTTATTAGAGAAAACGTCACTGTTTATACTGTTGTCCTGTTCCTCCCCTGTAATTTTGCCTATTATTGTTTAGAATAACACCCAAGTCTCTCTCAGTAATAGCCTTAAAAAGACTTCTGTGTTCAGAATCAATTTAAAGGTAAAAAATCCCAACAAAACCTGTGGCAAAGGAGGGGGAATCTTTTCATTAAATATTAGGCATGTGGGTTGACTATATTAGCTCTAAATCATTCCTATAATATTTTCTCCTTTCCTTTGACTCTTCAGATGCTCACATAATATGCAAATCATTTTACAATGGATACAAAAGAAACATTAAATATATTAAAATCCGCATTTTAATAAAGTTGTCAATGTATAATACATATCCTGCAACTGAGAAAGAATGATAAAAAGGCAATAAAAAGTTAATATAGGCACAGAAGTATTTAATAACTTTTAATGTTTTACATTCTGATAAAAATAAATGTGGTCTTGAAGCTTTTGGATATAGGTATAAAAAGTATCCCAGTCAGAGTTTAATATGTTTTAGCTGTTTAGGAGTAGCAGGTCTTGCTAGCTAGTAGCAGTAGTGTTGTTCGTATTCATTCTTCATCAGGGACTGTAATGATAGGACAAGGGGTAATGGTTTCAAACTTAAACAGGGGAGATTTAGGTTAGATATAAGGAAGAAGTTCTTTACTGTGAGGGTGGTGAGGCACTGGAACAGGTTGCCCAAAAATGTGGTAAATGCTCCATTCCTCGCAGTGTTCAAGGCCAGGCTGGACAGAGCATTGAGTGACATGATCTAGGGGGAGGCATCCCTGCCTGTGGCAGGGGAATTGGAACTAGGTGATTTTAAGGTTCTTTCCAACCCAAACCACTCTGTGATTCTATGATTTCTGTCCCCTTTGAACTGTAGGGATTAAGCTTGTGGGCTTTTCTTTCTCTTTTCAGATGGAGTGGATGTTGAGGATGACCCCACTTGCTCATGGCCAGCATCATCGCCTTCTAGCAAGGACCAGACTTCCCCGAGCCATGGAGAAGGTTGTGATTTTGGTGAAGAGGAGGGAGGTCCAGGGTTGCCCTATCCATGCCAGTTCTGTGACAAATCGTTCAGCCGCCTCAGCTACTTAAAGCACCACGAGCAAAGTCACAGCGACAAGCTCCCTTTCAAATGCACGTATTGCAGTCGCCTCTTCAAACACAAACGGAGCAGGGACCGCCACATAAAGCTTCATACAGGAGACAAGAAGTATCACTGCAGTGAGTGTGACGCAGCGTTCTCAAGGAGTGATCATCTTAAAATTCACCTAAAGACTCATACGTCCAACAAGCCATATAAGTGTGCCATTTGTAGGCGTGGATTCCTGTCATCTAGTTCGCTGCACGGTCACATGCAGGTTCATGAGAGGAACAAAGATGGCTCTCAGTCTGCTTCCCGGATGGAGGACTGGAAAATGAAAGACACTCAGAAATGCAGTCAGTGTGAAGAAGGTTTTGATTTTCCTGAAGACCTTCAGAAGCACATTGCAGAATGTCACCCCGAGTGTTCCCCTAATGAAGACCGATCTGCTCTTCAATGTGTTTACTGTCATGAACTCTTTGTAGAGGAAACATCTCTGGTGAATCACATGGAGCAGGCTCATAATGGTGAGAAGAAGAATTCATGCAGCATTTGCTCTGAGAACTTTCATACTGTGGAGGAGCTGTACAGCCACATGGACAGTCACCAGCAGCCAGAGTCGTGCAACCACAGCAACAGTCCGTCTTTGGTAACTGTGGGCTACACCTCAGTCTCTAGCACCACTCCAGATTCAAATCTCTCGGTGGATAGTTCAACAATGGTGGAAACGGCTCCTCCTATACCGAAAGGTCGTGGAAGGAAGCGGGCAGCTCAGCAAGTGCCAGATATCACTGGTCCTTCGAGTAAACAGGCAAAAGTTACCTATAGCTGCATTTATTGCAACAAACAGTTATTTTCCAGCCTTGCAGTTCTGCAGATACATCTTAAAACTATGCATTTAGATAAACCCGAACAAGCCCATATCTGTCAGTATTGTTTGGAGGTATTGCCATCTCTCTACAATCTGAATGAACATCTAAAGCAAGTCCATGAAGCTCCGGACCCAGCACTGATTGTTTCTACCATGCCTGCCATGGTGTATCAGTGCAACTTCTGTTCTGAAGTGTTCAATGACCTAAACACCCTTCAGGAACACATCCGTTGTTCACATGGATTTGCCAACCCTGCTGCTAAGGACAGTAACGCATTCTTTTGTCCCCATTGCTACATGGGGTTTCTTACAGATTCTTCTCTGGAAGAGCATATTAGACAAGTCCACTGTGATCTTAGCAGTTCACGTTTTGGTTCCCCTGTGCTTGGAACCCCAAAAGATCCGGTGGTGGAAGTATATTCTTGTTCTTACTGTACTAATTCTCCAATATTTAATAGTGTTCTTAAGCTGAACAAGCATATCAAGGAGAACCATAAGAACATTCCTTTGGCACTGAATTACATCCACAATGGAAAAAAATCCAGAGCCATGAGTCCTTTATCTCCTGTAACCATTGAGCAGACCTCTTTAAAGATGATGCAGGCAGTTGGAGGTGCTCCTCCTCGTCCTGCAGGTGAATACATTTGTAATCAGTGTGGTGCTAAGTATACTTCCTTGGATGGTTTCCAGACTCATTTAAAAACACATCTTGATACTGTCCTGCCAAAACTGACCTGCCCTCAGTGCAACAAGGAATTTCCAAATCAGGAGTCACTGCTGAAGCATGTTACCATCCATTTCATGATCACCTCAACCTACTACATCTGTGAAAGCTGTGACAAGCAGTTCACTTCTGTGGATGACTTGCAGAAACACCTACTGGACATGCATACGTTTGTGTTCTTCCGCTGCACCTTGTGCCAAGAAGTTTTTGACTCCAAAGTCTCCATTCAGCTACACTTGGCTGTGAAGCACAGCAATGAAAAGAAAGTATACAGATGTACATCGTGCAACTGGGATTTCCGCAACGAGACTGACCTACAGCTTCACGTTAAACACAACCACCTGGAGAACCAAGGCAAAGTACACAAGTGCATCTTCTGTGGCGAGTCCTTTGGTACGGAGGTGGAGCTGCAGTGTCACATCACTACACACAGCAAGAAGTACAACTGCAAGTTCTGCAGCAAAGCTTTCCATGCTATCATCTTGCTGGAAAAGCACTTAAGGGAAAAACATTGTGTTTTTGAGACAAAAACTCCAAACTGTGGAACGAATGGAGCATCCGAGCAGGTTCAGAAGGAGGAAGTGGAACTCCAGACCTTACTGACAAATAGCCAGGAGTCCCATAACAGCCATGATGGCAGTGAAGAAGATGTGGACACATCTGAGCCTATGTATGGCTGCGATATTTGTGGAGCAGCTTATACCATGGAGACTCTCCTGCAAAATCACCAGCTCCGAGACCACAACATTCGACCTGGAGAAAGTGCCATAGTGAAGAAAAAGGCTGAACTCATTAAAGGGAATTACAAGTGTAATGTGTGTTCTCGTACATTCTTCTCTGAAAATGGGCTCCGAGAACACATGCAGACACACTTGGGACCAGTGAAACATTATATGTGCCCAATCTGTGGCGAGCGGTTTCCTTCTCTTCTGACTCTTACTGAACATAAGGTCACGCATAGTAAGAGCCTGGACACTGGAAACTGCAGGATTTGCAAGATGCCTCTCCAAAGTGAGGAGGAATTTTTAGAGCATTGCCAAATGCACCCTGACTTGAGGAACTCCTTGACAGGGTTCCGCTGTGTGGTGTGCATGCAGACAGTGACTTCCACGCTGGAACTGAAAATCCACGGCACGTTCCACATGCAGAAAACTGGAAACGGTTCTGCCGTGCAGTCCACGGGGCGTGCACAGCATCTCCAGAAACTCTACAAGTGTGCTTCTTGCCTGAAGGAATTTCGCTCAAAACAGGATTTAGTGAAACTTGACATCAACGGTCTGCCATATGGTCTGTGTGCTAGCTGTGTTAATCTCAGTAAAAGTGGTAGTCCAAGTGTCAACATCCCTTCAAGCAGTAACAGGCAAGGCATGGGCCAAAATGAGAACTTGAGTTCCATTGAGAACAAAGGCAAGGCAGGGGGACTGAAGACTCGATGTTCTAGTTGCAATGTTAAATTTGAATCAGAAAGTGAACTCCAAAACCATATTCAGTCAATCCACAGAGAGCTTGTTCCAGACAGCAACAGTACACAGCTGAAAACACCACAAGTATCTCCAATGCCCAGAATCAGCCCCTCACAAACTGAAGAGGTAACCCTTTTTTCTTTGCTCTTGACACCTTCCATCCTTTTGGAAAAAATCCCCCTTTTTTTGAGCTGTCTTGTCACTTGTCATGAAATGTTTAGGCTGAACCATGTTACATTTCCATCCGTAGCCATTAGCTAGTAATTACTTTCTTCTTGATATGCTTTACATCTTGGATTGAATTGTGTGGAGTAGGACTAATTCCAGTCTCCCTAGGATATTGTCTTCTGTCTCACTGAGGAGAACTATCTTCATGCCAGCACAACTGAGATCTGGAATCTTACCCTAGCTCCCTTATGTGTTGGAATCCCCAGCTAGGAGTTGTGCTTCCGGCAGAGAGAATTAATGACAGAGAATACAGTGAGCCAAAATGCTGGCAAACAGGGTGGATTTTAAAAAATATTTGTGAGCAACAAATTGAGGTGTTTTTTGTAAATTGTGTTGTAGACATTCATTTTCCCCTCTTATAACTTATTTGATTAAGTAGAAGTGCAATGCTAGCCTAAGGTAAATTGGGAAATCAGTCCTTTGGATGCAATTCCTCGTTGTGTTTTTCTTTCCATTCCTGATCAACAACATTTTGATGTCACTGAAGCACCTAGTGCCTGATGATTGAAATCCCATTCACACAGCATAACTTAGAAAGCAAATATCAAACTCTTGAAAGATCTCATCTGATTCCTCAGTCACCAGAGGCCAAGTAATAACACCTGTGTCTGGGAAGGTAGGGGGGTCATATGCTGAGGGAGGGGAATCTGTTTTATCCTCAGAAATGTTATCCATAGAATGACTTGGAGTTTATATTTGATGTATGGTATCTTGCATAATAATCCCTTATAGTTCAGGAAGCTTAAAAACACAGCACAAACAAATTGTAAGGAATAATAGCTTTTGTTTCAAGAAAGCTTTTAGGTTGTAATGGTACAAACATGGTGCAACCCATTGCTGTGAATGTGTATGGATACCCTGTGGCTAGGGAGCTGTTGCTCTTCCACCACCTTCCTCGCTCCCTGTTTGTGAGCCCATCTGTTGGGTAAGAAGCCTCACAGCGTGTCATCCAACAGTGTTGTGCAAACTGGAGGGCAGAAAGGAGGGAGAGAGGGAGGAGGGAAGATACATAAGGACATGTGGGCCAAGAGGTAAGTGTTTGTGGAGTTACCAACAGCATAGCTGAAGGATGGCTGGGAGAATGCCACTGAGGTAGCACAGGGCCTGGAGTGCCACAGAGAGGAAAGAGGAGCTGGGAGACAAGGGGAAGTACTAGGCAGAATGCATCTGCCAAGGAAAGGGCCCTATGCTTTCATGACATCTGCATCTCTAGTTTGCGCACTGGCTGGTGATGGGGGACACCTGGAGACTGGGACGTGGTGTGGAGTTTATGGAAGGAGCAGGTTGTTAGGCTGAGAACTGCAGGTCTAAGGGAAACCTTCTTTACAAAGAAGAGGGAAAAGGAATGTCAAGTTAGGTGTGGTTCAGGCCATTGCCTGAACCTGGTGGTCCTGCAGTTCTGCTGCTGAGTGGGAACCACAGGATTACCAGCTGCATGTTTCTGGTAGATTCAGTCATCCTGGTTTCTGTCTCTGTTGTCTTGCCCCAAGTGACTGCATGAAATCTCTCTTCCCAGTCATATTGGAAGACAGTTCCTCCTACCTCAAGCACAGTCAGAATCATGTGTATTAAGACAGTTACTATGATAAGATGTTGCCAACTTGTCTTTCTCTTGCTTGTAAACTAGACAAAAAGAGATTTGGGAGTCCTTTGTGGTGATGTAAGGTCAGTTACTTTCAGTGTCATCAGTGAGTCTTCTTGTACTTGGGTCAGGTATAATCAGAGTTTCTATGTCTTCATCTGATTGGCATCATGTTCCTCTTCTTACTCCTTTCACTTTTTCTCTTAGAAATGTATTTAAGATGATAAAGTGTTTTAAACTACAGCAAGATTTGTGAATAACATTTGCCTGCTTTCAAATCACCATTTGCCCCCCATTCAGAGCTTGTAAACTTACTTTTTAGTGTCTGTGGTTCTAGTCTCCACAGAAGTAACATAGACTTTCAGATTCTTTTCTCATGGGAAGCACAAAGCTATCGAGTTCTTGATAGAGCATTAATACTTATGGAAACCATAAATGCATGTTTGTAAAATCCTGAAAGATAATTTATTTTTCTAACAGATATTACTGGTTTCAAATCATAGTAATGCAAGTATTATAGCAATGAGAATCAAAATTGAAAGTGGTAATACACAAATGTTTAATGCTATAGATTGGATGTCCAGGCTGAGGGAAATGAAAACATAAGCATACAACACAAACAAATTGGATTGCTAAAATTTATTATTAGACAGTGGCTTTGCTACTCTACTGGAAGGACGTTTCTTGAATTGAATGGGAGGTTGAAAACGGCTACTTAAACATGTTATTTTGGGGAGATATTCAACAAAAAAAATAAATTAAGGAGTGAAGGTTTCATGTGCATTATTGAGAGTCATGTGGTTTAGATTTCAACCTTTATATAAAGTACATTTCATTCCTAAGGCAAGAAAAATGTGGAGACTAGTTGTCAGACCATTAGTAGTGCTGAATACCCTTTATTACTCAGTAAAAAATTACAATGCCAAGCGTACTAGAACATATCTTTCTAAGATAAATGGTAACACTAAGAAACATCACTTCTGGCTTCTTTCCAAATATTCTCCTGGTTGAACTAGAAAACTCCCCATTTTAGCCTGTACTCAATGGCGTGATAGAGTGCAGTTACCTTAACATGGTATAATGTCATCAGCTGAGCTCACCCTACTTGCTAAGTGAAAGATGTTGATCTGGATTGTCTTCACTGAAAGTTACCTTTCAGTTGGGATAGGAAATCGTGGGCAGTCCTCATCAGTTACAACTCAAGGAACAGGTCAGAACTCATTAAGCCCATCCTACTGCTGAATTCAGTCCCCTGAGCCATCAAAGAGACTTAACTGGCAGATTGTATAGCTAGCTATTGAAAGAGCTCTAAAATTGGTAAATCTGCAGCTTACTCTTTAAGCTTAATGAGATGCCAAGTTCAGGTTGTAGATATCTTGTAAAGATCTTGAATCATGGCAAGCACACTCTTAGACTAGGATAGTAATCTTCTTGGTGATAGCTAATGTTTAAAAGTGGAAAACAAGGTCTGATATGATAGTGAATTGGGAACTAGACATCAGTCCTTTTTCTGTCACTCATTTGCTTTGTTGACTCAGATAAATCTAGTTGAACATCTCTGCTTCATTTTCCTTACTCCAAAAATAAGATACATAGTTCCTGAAAAGTGTGTTGTCATTGAGATGCAATTTCTGTAAGCACTTAGAAGATGAAAAGCAGTGTTCAAGGAACATTGTGTGGCCTTGCTTCTCTTGTTCCTCCTTAATATGCTGGCATGCACTTAATGAGAGAACTCCTGTCTTAGCTTCAACACTTCTGTACATGCAGAATCATACCAGTGCAACTGTACCATAACAGTAGTTATATTCTTAATTGCTTAGCTGGCAGGGGAGGAGGGAAGGGACTCCAGTTTACACCAACAGTTTACTGCTACAACCTATCTTATGCTAGTGTACATATTATCTGTACGTGCAACTGCGCTCACTTTGTGGTCCTATTGATAACTTCCAGAGTAGATGCTCAGCAAGCGCAATTGCTTCTGTAAGTAGCTTAAGTTATGTATCACTTTGTTCCATGAATGTGAAGCTCATGTGAATACTGTATTATCTGTGGCAATGCAGACAGTGCTTTATTAATAATACAAGAATACTCTGGGTTTTCTGGTCCTGAGAAGAGAAGGAGCAGTGTGAGTACGCTGCCAAATTACTGCAGGAATAAAGATGCTTATTCAGGTGTTGCAAAAGACTTGCAGAAACATACTGTAGCAGAGTATCAAAAGCGCTGGACAAAGGAGAGAACTAGCAACTGTCACACCAGCTGAAGAACAGAATAAGTGAATCAGGGGCTGCTCTTCTGTCCTGTTGTGGTTCTTCAGAGGTGTATGCCAGGATGGGTGTGTCCCGGGAGGGGACGCTGGGTACATCACAGCACCATACCGGAAGGAGCCACGAAAGTGCAGGCTGACAATGAACTTGTGGAGAAGGGGTCACAAAATTCAGATGCTGCGTGGAGCTGGTGACTCCTTGAAACTCAACTTATCTGACCTCAGACAAATCCAGAAATGGTATCACCCTGGGAGAAAGAATGGAGCTCAGGTAGGTGCACTATTTTATCATTACATTTTTCTCTTTATTCATGGGCCCTGAATCTACCTTTATTCTCTTACTATTCCTCCCCCCTTCTCAAAACACTGCCAGACTCAAAAAGATAGAAAACAGGAACTGCCTTTTGAAGTAGCTGGTTTGTTTCAACAGCATGCACTGGCAGTCAGAGATGGAAAGAAGGGAGAAAAGACTGTGAGCAACCCAGAAATGTTCCCAGATGCATGCTTTTGGCAGGGCAGGCAATAGCATTTTAGCGCTATAAATCACTGTGCTTTTAACTGAAAAAAAAAAATGCACTGAAATCAATACTCATGCATTTAATTGAAATACATAAAGAAATTAAAATAATCCTCCTCATCAGCAATCCAAGCTGATCATTCTGTCTACAGGATTTTTATGAATAAGCACATAAACTTGTAATGTAACTGTAAGAAGTGGTGCCTTGGGTTTCCTGTCAGTGAATCCAGGCCCAGAACAAGTGATTTTCATGCTGGATTTTGGATCCGGGGACAAAAAGAGGTAAAGAAGGTTTGTTGCTGGCACAAAGATCTGGCTTTGAAATAGTTTGTAGAACTAATCTGTGGCAAACATATTTTCTGCTTCTGGAGTTTCAGAATGAGCTCACTAAAACTATCATTTTTGTCTTCTTGGATTGTTTTCACATTGCTTTCAGGAAAGTATTATTTGAGATACGACCATATATACCTTTAGGAAGAGCTACTCTGTTCTTCTTGCCACAGTAGGCCACCTTCACAACTGTGCTCTAATTTCTG